CGGGTCTTCGGCGTGACGAGCGGACGCTTTAACCACTTGGCTACCACAGAGCAGACAGACCCAGCACGCATGACAACACAGTATTCAATATTCGACTGCCCAATGATAACGACACTAGTGTTTCAACAAGCAAGGACATGATTCACAGAGTAGACAGACCCAGCAGTGCCAAGTAAACTCATCACAACATAGTATTCAATATTCAACTGCCCAATAGCAACGAAACGGCGTATTCACTACTGTTTCAACAAGCAAGGACATGGTTCATGTGACAGGGAAATAGTGTCAAGTGAAACTACACGAACATCAACAGCTCAGATCTTTCAGTGTTAACCAGCTGCTGACTATGTTTCTGTTTTACACAGTGACCGGAGTACTTCATGTGTGTGGTATGTATATCTGTCTTCGAAAATGGCCAACCTTGTGACTGTTTTCTCAAGTAATACGGGATATTCTCTCAGTAATCGTACGTAATGATGACTGGTATTTTTTTGCGTGCAGGTCAGTACATGAACTTATCACGCCAGTTTTTAATATGTTTTATTTTCATATAGCGCCTAGTATCACTCTGTCTAGTTGCTCGCTGGACGCTGAATCACAATCTGATTATTATTACCCTGGATAACCCAAGATGCCTGTAAGGCGTTAGAAGGTTAATAGTCAAATGACTTATCTCACCGGGTAACCAGTTTCTGCTGTACCCAGTTTCGGCAATTTTGAACAAACACACTTACCTCAGGTGAGACAACATGTTAGTATGTGATATGTTAGTATGTTCAGCGTAGTCTAGACCACATGTTAGTATATGATATGTTAGAATGTTCAGCGTAGTGTAGACCACCTGTTAGTATATGATATGTTAGTTTGTTCAGTTTGTTCAGCCTAGTGTAGATCACATGTTAGTATATCATATGTTAGTATGTTCAGCGTAGTGGAGACCACATGATAGTACATCATATGTTAGTATGTTCAGCGTAGTGTAGATAACATGTTAGAATATGATATGTTAGTATGTTCAGCGTAGTGTAGACCACATGTTAGTATATGATATGTTAGTATGTTCAGCGTAGTGTAGATCACATGTTAGTATATGATACGTTAGTATGTTCAGCGTAGTCTAGACCACATGTTAGTATATGATATGTTAGTATGTTCAGCGTAGTGTAGACCACATGTTAGTATATGATATGTTAGTATGTTCAGCGTAATGTAAACCACATGTTAGTATATGACATGTTAGTATGTTCAGCGTAATGTAGATCACATGTTAGTATATGATATGTTAGTATGTTCAGCGTAGTGTAGACCACATGTTAGTATATGATATGTTAGTATGTTCAGCCTAGTGTAGATCACATGTTAGTATATGATATGTTAGTATGTTCAGCGTAGTGTAGACCACATGTTAGTATATGACATGTTAGTATGTTCAGCGTAAAGTAAAACACATGTTAGTATATGATATGTTAGTATGTTCAGCGTAGTGTAGACCACATGTTAGTATATGATATGTTAGTATGTTCAGCGTAGTGTAGACCACATGTTAGTATATGATATGTTAGTATGTTCAGCGTAGTGTAGATCACATGTCAGTAATGTGTGTAAGATATGTAAGTATAGTGCATACATGTATATGAAGCACTGTGTATGGGATATATACATATTATACAGTGTAAACAATCATAATAAACCATTTCATAGATACATTATAACAATGTGACAAAAATGAAAAAGAGCAAAATATATTAAGAATACAATCGATCGGGTCCATCGAAATCACTTTATTGACTCCCCTAAAAAGAATGTAATTTACATTTTCCGAAAAGTTTACATTAAAAATGCAAAATTGTGTCAGTTTGACAACTCAGCCCACAGAAAATACTATAACGCCTGTTCATAAAAGTTATTTCCTCCTCTTTGTTTGGGAGCTTATATGTGTGTGGTATGTATCTGTCAACTAGGATTATATTGAACTGACTTCAATAATGTGCTTAAATAATTCTGTCAAATATTAACCTTGTTTTAATGACGAATACTTGTTTTGCGTGCAGGTCTTGCCTCCATAACAACTGGATACCCACACACTGTTGCACGTGTTGGCGACGATGTTAACATAACCATGAACCCAGCGAATGTCAGCTTCCTATATAACGTATGGGTGAATGGTTCGGTAGCTGTGAGACTGTTCCTGGTCTTGCCTAACTCACCCCGTGTATGGGTACTCAACAGCAGTCACACCGGCTACAGGACCAGGATCAGATACACCGGGGAGGACTCACTATCACAGACCGGACAGCTGAGGTTTACCATCTACAATGTTACTGTACAGGACGCTGGTACTTACTACTGTCAAAGAACCAATGGACAGACAGTTACTGGATGTAGACAGGTCCTCGTTGTAGCACGTGAGTAGGATATGAGATTAACAGAATATTATTTGAAGAATAATGTTGGACTGTCTTAATGTATCTCCAACATCAATAAATAGCTGTTCAATCTTCTATTTCAGTAGAAGAACTTTAGGTTAGGTGAAATGGGGGGGGGTTAGATTATTGTGTATATGGCGACATGGATCCGTGTGTGTGTGTGTATGTATGTGTGTGTATGTGCGTGCGCGCGTGCGTATGTGTGTTTGCGTGTGTATGCTTGTGTGTGTGTTGTATGCATGTGTGTGTTGTATATGAACTATGCTTGTTCACCGACAAAGAAGCAGTGTCGAAGTTTAACATGGATGAGTGTATCCGAGTCCATCAGTCTTGCATCTTTTTAACGCCATTTGTTGTGACGCACCTGGTAGTGACGCCGTCGACCCTCCTCTCTATGGAAAGTACATTTAACTCGTTTCAGTAGAGGCAGCCAGTAGTTGTGTGGTAACTATCATATTTAATCAACAAAACGGTTAGGAGTATTAGGATCCAGCCAACATGGATTCCCTGCTGTAACTGTGGAACACTGACTGCGGAACACTGAGTGAGTGAGTGAATGAGTGATTTTTTTAGCAATATTCCAGCAATATCATGATAGGTGACATCAGAAATGGGCTTCACTCATTGTTCCCATGTGGGGAATCAAACCAGGGTCTTCCACGTGACGAGTGAATGCACTAACTATTTAACATTTGATAGATAATAATGATGAATAGTATATAAATACAAGTATGAAAGCATTCAGCAAAATCCTGTTTAATGGCACTCGTGCTAAGGTCTCAGCACATTTGTTATATTTGTTCACAGAGAAGCCTACCACACCCACCGTTACCGGACCTGCCTCACCTGTATCAGGTGAGAATGTCATCCTGACATGCTCCTCCTCCTCCCGGTGTCTACCCCCGGACCATCCCCCACTGACCATGACCTACATCTGGAGGAGGGACAGGACCCGGGTAGAATCTGGTGATGAGTATCCTACAGGTGGAGATGACCTGACAATAACCCACATCAGCAGAGAGAACCAGGGAGACATATACAGCTGCAAGGCCGTGGAGGAGGGGCTGGCGTCTAACTGGAGTCACGGACATGTACTGGATGTTCTCTGTGAGTTAGACCTTACCTTGTTTACGGCATAAGAACCTCGTATATCTTATCTTTGAATCTGTGCTTCTGAGTGATAGTTTTGTCACAACCTTCTTTGCTGAAGTACTGTGTTCTGTGTAAACAGAACAGAAATGATTATTGTAAAAGTTCGAATAGGAAATATAAGCAGGTCTGATTTAATTATCCATTCAAAGTTTTAGAGTTTCAGAGGCTGTCGAAAATGTTTCTAGTTTCCCGGCACTGTAAGCTCACCTGGACATGTTGTCAAGAGTAGTACATATCAACAGAGTGAGTGAGTGAGTTACAACGGTGTTCCAGTTGTAGTCTGTACTTATTGTGTGAGGAAAGCATAAACTGATATTGGTCTGAGACGTTTACCATTTTGTGAATCCCAGGAACACAGGCCAAGCCAAGCAGCATGTCTTCATTCATCATTTATGTCACAGAAGCAAACTGCACTTATATGTAAAAAAAAACATTCGTTCTTAGCTGACCATCTCACATGCATTGCAGATGGACCTGGTCAGATACAGTTTGACGGCACAAGTGACAAGCTGGAGGTAGAAGAAGGGAAACCTGTAACAGTGAGATGTTCTGCTGATTGTAACCCTGCCTGTACTGTAACCTGGTGGAACATCTCCAGACAGAATGTGATTACAGGACAGGGGGAGGCTGTGTTGTCTATACCAGCTGTAGATGTATCTGTGTCTGGACTGTACACGTGTCACGTCAACAACACACATGGGAGTGCATCACGGAACCTGACGCTGGACGTCTCCCGTAAGTCAACACTTCAGTAACAGAATCTGTTATATACAACCTATTGTTGGGGATGACGCCTGTTGGGACGGCCCCCTTTTCGTACTCCTGATCCTGCTGGAACACCTGCTTGAACACCTGCTAGAACACCCAGATATTTAAAATAATCAAATACCCTTTAGATGGCACTCCATGATTAAAAATAATTACCCATTTGAAGCAGTGATATTGATGAAGAATTTAATTTTCACTGTGATCTAAATGGATTATCACTCCAATGATTCTTAACTTTCAGATTTTCCAAAAATCCGAAATTGTTTCAATTAATTCGAAAAAATCAATTAGAAACCCAGCCCTACAGAATACAGTGCTCCTGAACCTCTATTTATACGAGGAATATAATTTGACACTTTTCGTTAGATATTTCCGTTTCTTCACCCTGCACAAATGAGAACACTGATGTTGCCGACGTTGCATGTCCTCCTGTGGAGCTGATGTTGACAATGACGTTGTTGTTGGGGATGTACAGCGTACCTCATCAATCACTTACAAAGCGTAGCACGGAAAGGTTATTCAGATGGACATCGCAAGTGTCAACCAATATGTTTTGAATCAGGTTAAAACCTCCCGAAGAGGCTTGATGTTACATGATTATACTCGTATGCATACTGTACTGAATATTGTTCATATTAAATGTTTCAGCACGTGAAGATACTGAATCTGGTGCCATTTCCATCGTCCCCGAGGCTGCTGTCTGTTCCGTCCTGATCGTGGTCATCGCCGTTGTCGTCATCGTTGTTGTTTGTAGAAAACAGAGACGTGGAGGTAATACGGTGTGATGTGAGAGTGAATGACGATAACCGAGAGTCACGTAAAGTTGTCTCTCTCAGAAGCACTCCTTTTTCAGAAGCAATAGCCGTTTTATTTGCATGGTCAGTTACATACGCAATCGATGTGTGTGTGTTCCTATCACGGAAACGTTGTCTCCATAGAATAGCAAGGCCAATGCTTTCAGATGAACAGTCACACGATGATAGTGCATAAGAAAGATAGACACGTTCCTTTATGTGAGTGAGTCTGGTTTTATGTCGCTTTTAGCAATATTTCCCAAATATCATGGTGAGGGACACCAGAAATTGGCTTCACACATTGTACCCAAGTGTGGCATCGAACCCGGGTCTTCGGCGTGACGAGCGGACTCTTTAACCGCTAGTCTACCCCACCGTCCCTTCCTATATATCTACACATGTACTGATTTATATATGACAGTGTGGGACAACGCTTTGGGTGAGGTAGGCGGGGAGGGCGGGGGATGGTTACTTCCAGAATACGTTTACCCCCACAACTGATATATACCAATACTGACCAGCAAAAGAAACGCAATTCAAGAAATCAAAACTCATACTGAATTTCGATTCGTCTGAAAAGATGACATCATCCCACCTTCATTGTCCAGAACAGTACAGAACAGAACAGAACAGAACTTTTATTCCGCTCAGGCTGGGGTACTCGACATAACAGGTACAAATAAATATACAGTTGAGAATACATAGGATGGCGGGATGGTTTACAAGGAAGATTATACAGTTTTCATGACAGTACTACAAAATATACACAGTTGTTTTAAAACACTAATTCGTTTACAGTTTAACAATTCGTTAAATCTTAAAACATTGGGTTTTTTCAACCTAATGGTTTGGGATATAAGTTTTCCTATGATGTTTAAAGAAAGGGCAGAGAAAAATGTAGTGAAATTCATCGCCAACATCACACGTGTAGCAGAGGTTACACATTCCTTCTTCGAGTGGAATTTACTTCTATATGTAAATGGTGGCAGGAAGTTCTAAACAAGAGAAATTTAAGAGCCAAGGAGGAATGGATATATGTGAGATACTTTTCAAAGACAAGTTCAGATTTGAATACGCGATACATGGTACCCTTAGAAGAATTCGAAATCTCTACGCGCAATGTTTGGGTTGCTATATCTTCTAAGCCTAAGGAGATAATAGTTTTTAATTTTCACTATGATCTGATGGCATTATCACTCCAATGATTCTTAAGTTTCAGATTCTCAAAAAATCCCAAATGTTTCCGTTAATTCGAAAAATTGAATTAGATATTTTTGGTTGACTAACCAGCACATACTGTAGGCTGTTTCATTTAAAACGGCTTCCACGGATTTAATCTATTTTTGGTTGCTATTGTTTATGCAGGCTTCATTATATAGCATTTGGTACACAATTGTTGACAGCTTTTGTTCTTTACCAGATAGGAGTCTAGCCCAGAAATATACCATGCGACATTTGATAGAGTTATTTAGGGGTACCCTTCCAAGGTCTCCATATAGCATTATAATGGCGTGCTTCTCTTAAGGGGAAGGAATTCTATAGATTTACAGTTTTCAAAACCCCTTATTTCGCAGCCGTATAACAGAATTGGCTTAACCATGGTTATTGTCACCCAACGGCGCCGTTCCAGTCGATGTCTGTTGGTGAGGATGGGTCCACGGTAAGGTCGACGGCAATGTAAGCCTGCCGCTAGGAGTCGTCTGCGCACAGTCCTTTCGCTGATAGGGCGCCCCATAGACCCAGTCACGGCATTAGCAGTGCTTACTGCCGCCTGCAGACGGTTCCGGAGGTGCTGAAGTTGGATTATCCGTCCTGTCTTTGTGACGTCACACTGGGGCGTACCGGAACGGGGGCGATCAGAAACGCTGCCAGTTGCCATTACTAACCGTTGCTGCAGACGAGTTATTGTCGAAGGGTGCACCTGAAAATACCGGTCTACATGAACTTGTCGAACTGCAGCATTCAGCATGCCTATTGCTTGGTGTCTCTCCATTTCACTTACACGTGGCATGTTGCTGTGAAATGCGTGTGTCATGCATTTCATCCTTGCTTGTTTCTCCCTAAAAATGGATTCGAACACCATCCTACATGGTGAATGCTTTATCCTCACCACATCATACTTGTGTTAAAGTATCAAAACCAAACTCATGCTGAAAAAGTACAATTTTCATGAATTCTGAGTTGCGTTTTTATTGCTGGTCAGTATATATACACCTATACAAACGTTAAGCAATACTAATATGTTTTTAGATGTGATGTCTTTATTATAACTATTCTTTAAGGAAGTAACTATTCTTTAAGGAAGTAAATGCGGGGAAATTGAATCTGAGACCAGCCTTTAAGGAAGAGTTTATAGTGAGTGAATGTGAGCAATATCACGATGGGGGACACCCGAAATGGGCTTCAGGCATTGTACCCATGTGGGGAATCGAACTCAGGTGTTCGGCGTGAAGAGTTTATACCCTTAAGAGACACTATTATTGAGATCATATGCAAAACCTTTCACACCCATAAATAGAGTGAAAACTAAATATCTATGTTATAAGCTTACATGAGAAGTTAGATGTAAATTACTGAAAACTGGGGTGCTATTTACTTGACGTCTCCTTTCCTGTGTATGTTTCAGTCCAACATTTCATTTCTCTTATATAACCATCAAGATACATTTGAACAGCCTGAGAACAGGCATTTGTTCTAAATGAACCTTGTTATATTTCGTTCCGCCTAACCCTAACTGTAATGGAAAAAGTCTTAAATAAAGCATGCCCTGGGTTTCCAGAGGTTCGGGTATCACCTATCTATAAAAGAAAGACATTTGCTCTAAAAACTGTCACATATCGTTCTACCAATTTCTAATAATTTATTTCTACTTCAAAGGTATGCAATTATACGAGCAATTCGTTAAGCATATATTTTTCATCTAACATTTTGCATTTACTTATCTACACAATTATAACTTTCAGATAGAGGATACCCTCATAACCGGTGAGTAGCTGCTATCCAGATGGTAAGGCACATGGGTAAACAGTTGGCAGTATCTGCTATCCTCCAAGGCTATTGGGTAAACAGTAGGCAGTATCTGCAATCCTTCAAGGCTGTTGGGTAAACAGTTGGCAGTATCTGCAATCCTTCAAGGCTGTTGGGTAAACGAACGGTTGGCAGTATCTGCTATCCTTCAAGGCTATTGGGTAAACAGTTGGCAGTATCTGCTATCCTTCAAGGCTATTGGGTAAACAGTTGGCAGTATGTGCTATCCTTCAAGGCTATTGGGTAAACAGTTGGCAGTATCTGCTATCCTTCAAGGCTATTGGGTAAACAGTTGGCAGTATCTGCTATCCTTCAAGGCTATTGGTAAACAGTTGGCACTATGTGCTATCCTTCAAGGATATTGGGTAAACAGTTGGCAGTATCTGCTATCCTTCAAGGCTATTGGGTAAACAGTTGGCAGTATCTGCTATCCTTCAAGGCTATTGGGTAAACAGTTGGCAGTATCTGCTATCCTTCAAGGCTACTGGGTAAACAGTTGGCAGTATCTGCTATCCAGATAGTAAGGATATTGGGTAAACAGTTGGCAGTATCTGCTATCCTTCAAGACTATTGGGAAAACAGTTGGCAGTATCTGCAATCCTTCAAGGCTATTGGGTAAACAGTTGGCAGTATCTGCTATCCAGATGGTAAGGCTATTGGGTAAACAGTTGGCAGTATCTGCTATCCAGATGGTAAGGCTATTGGGTAAACAGTTGGCAGTATCTGCAATCCTTCAAGGCTGTTGGGTAAACAACAGTTGGCAGTATCTGCAATCCTTCAAGGCTATTGGGTAAACAGTACCAGTTTGCAGTATCTGCAATCCTTCAAGGCTGTTGGGGTAAAACAGTTGGTACAATCCTTCAGTTGGCAGTATCTGCAATCCTTCAAGGCTGTTGGGTAAACAGTTCTAGTTGGCAGTATCTGCAATCCTGCAAGGCTGTTGGGTAAACAGTACTAGTTGGCAGTATCTGCAATCCTTCAAGGCTATTGGGTAAACAGTTCATCACCAACACAATTTGACTGGCTATATCACTAATCAATAGCTGTGTGATATCGAGCACAATCTAAATCAATGGCGCACAGTCAATGAGCTGCTGGATAGTTATTACTCTTCCAGGCAAATGTTTTAAGGGCGTGAACTACCTGTATTTTCGTGAACAGCTGGTGTCTTCACTGATTTTCTCAGTGGTTCATTCATATCATTTTGACAGCTATTTTGTTATTTGCAACACTTTTATTTGTTTTCATAAATATTCCTTGATTCCAAGCACTTTCTACATTTCTTTTCCCCCAGCGTTGTCACATACATCCTTGACGCAGAAACAGACGGGGGCTACCAGGAGATAGAAGGTTGGTGTTGTACGTCATCGTAGACCCTTAAACGTCACATGAATTAGTTCAGGTAAACAGGCGAATTATTAAATGGGCAATGTTATGTACCATGTCTAAAAACAGTCTTGGAATTTTAGCTGTCAACATAGAAAAACTAAAGGCCTATCAAAACTATTAGCTCCGAGTGACCTTGGGCGTTGGGGTAGCCTAGTGGTTAAAGCGTTAAAGTCGAAGGCCCGGGTTCGATTCCTGAAATGGGATCAATGTGTCAGGCCCATTTCTTGTGTCCCCTGTCGTGATATTGCTGTAACATGGCTAAAAGTCGCGTGAAACCCAAATCACTCACTCACTGATTGACCTTCTATTGAAACTTGTAACGGATGCTGTCCATATATCGCGTCTACGGTGCTAGATCAGTGCACTATATTCAAACATGTACGGATATGTGATCGGTGCACAATAATACAGGCATCTGTGATTAACCTTACAGTTTGTATGCATAATTAACTGCTGAACATTGTCACTTTCAGAGAGAGGATACGTTGATCAGCGGTGAGTATCTTCATCAATCTTCAAGTAGGATGAATAAATATATCATCTCACACAGTGATACATAGCTGAAAATCTGATATAGAATTGATACTCAGCAACCGATGGTTGTCGTAAAAGTTGACCAACGGGATACGGTGGTCAGGCTCGCTGACTTGGTTGACTCATATCATCGTATCCCAATTGCGTAGATCGATGCTTATGCTGTTGAGCACTCGATTGTCTGGTCCAGACTCGATTATTTACAGACCGCCGGCATATAGCTGGAATATTGCTGAGTGCGGCGTCAAACAACAAACAAACCGACATAGCTATCAGAGCACGATTCGGAGCGATGTAGATTGAGAGTGTGTCACAACTTTATAATTTCCTCTCATTTTACTCTAGTTTAATACTCATTTTTTATCAGCTTGGTTTCGTATCACAGGGAAGACGAAAACGATGGGAGCTACCAGGAAATAGAAGGTTGGTGTCTAAAGGTTAACTACAAGCATGATGTGTAACGGCTGTGAAACTCGAACTGTGAGTGTATGGTACTGATATGTCGATTGAATGTAGCTCGAACTATCTCCCGTCTGAAGCCCAGAAGCCTGGAATAGGAGTCGTGTCTAAAACCCATATACATTGGATATAAGTCAAATCGTCGTGGTTACGGTGTAATATTTCAAGGAAAGGGAAAAATACCGATTATATGATTACCAATCATAGAATAGCTAATATACTGTAAATAAACATTTCCTAAGTCAAATTCGTTTATATTTTATATATAATACTTATGACACTTCTTAATTTCCATGTACAAAACCAGGATTCGGTAATATGCCATGTGTGGGAAACAGATCCACTGGCCTGGACAGCTGTAACGGTCATACTTCCCGTCATACATCAAGGATGATTCTTCCATCTTCATTGCTTGTTTCCTTTGTTGCGTTATGCGATGTAGACAGGGTTCCAGTAGCGTATAAAGAATCGTAGTTTCTTTGAAAAAGTAGACACAAATAGTATTTCCTCCTAATGTCCTAAACCCAGTATCTATGCACTGAAAGGAATAATGAATATTAACGACGAATCTTTTATGTTTCAAATACGATGTAGACAGGACAAAAAAACCCAGTACTTCCTCTATTTCCTCCTTATGTTTTAAAACCAATATATGCATTAAAACGAACAAGGAATATTAACAGAACATTTCTTATCATTCAAATACGTCTCTGCGTTCTCATATGAATTACCATACTAATTACATATGTGTTAACTGTGTGTTATATCAGAAGGTGATGACAACGTCGACGACATCGTTCCCATCATAGCTGTCTATTCCATTATGCTCACTGCTGTGGCAGTTGTGGTGGCAGCAGTTACTGTTCTTGTCTGCAAGGACGTAAGAGGTACGATGAATACATGAATCTTTTTGAATGCAATGTAAGTTTCAATCCCTCCTCCACTCCCCAACACACCACAACCAACACGAACTTACACCAAAGTGAAGAACCAGGTCAGAGCTGGTCTTCTACAACCTATTTGCAAGCTCGTCATAACGCTGGCTGATTATGGCCATGCATGTATACCCCCGTGTCCCAATTGCTTAAATCGATGCTCATGATATCAATCACTGGGTTTTCTTGTCAAGTCTTGATTATTTCAGACAATCGTAATATAGCTGGAATATTGCTGAATGCAGCGTTAAACAGCAAACAGGCATGTCTGTAGTTCACCTTCATATGCTGAAATCTTTTTTTCATTTTATTTTGTTAACGCTGTTTTGATTCAGTAATTTGGGCAGTCGGGAGCCAAGTGGTTAAGGCGTTCACGCCAAAGACCTAGGTTCGATTCCCCACATGGGTACAATATGTGAAGCCCTAATTATGGTGTTCTGGTTTTGGTGATGTTGATGGACTGTGCTAACAGCGACTCAGTCACTAACTGTTATTCAGTAAATGGAAACGTGGACGAATCTTTCCGTTTAGAAATTTACAAGTTTGTCTTTTGCTTTATTTGCAGAAAACCAGGACAGAAGGTACATAAGTTTATTGTTTGACCTTAAGTGCTGGAGTTAGGTATGCTTATAACCAGTTAACAAACCCTCATATATGTGTCCAGTTGCAATCTCCTGTGTTAAACACCATTTACTCAACTTACCCCAGAAAACTAGACCCTAACTGAATAAACGAAGCCCTTATAGATTATCTGTGGAAATGACGGAGAAAGTAGCACTTGGATCTATGTAACAAATGTACGATTTGTTAAGAGAGGATTGCAAATCTATGATCACTGTTGAGGTCTGTTTTAGGATTTGCAATCCATTTATGATTTCTGTTCCACGCTGCATGAAAGCAAAATACATACACTTCTGTGCAAGACAACTTTATGTGCAATGTAAGTGTAATGTTGTAATTACAGATGTGGTGAATATCTTACTGTGATGGCAGACAGATTGTCCCGTGACTTCAGTGATGTACCTTGTGCTTCCAACAACGACGGGAATGTCTTACCCTTACATGATTACGAGCGACTCCTGAGGGAACAGTTCCACATCTACACGTCTCTCCACCCTTCAACTTCCTAAGCAGACGACCACAGCACCAGGTGAAGCCAAACCTGACGGTACAGTTCCTCTCCTCCGTCTCTCCACCCTTCATCGTCCCCCAGAGAAGTCTAATCTGACGGTGCAGTTCCTCATCTACACGTCTCTCCACCCTTCATCGTGCCCCACAGAGGACCACAGTACCAGGTGAAGGCTAATCTGACGATACAGTTCCTCATCTACACGTCTCGACCACAGCACCAGGTGAAGCCAAACCTGACGGTACAGTTCCTCTCCTCCGTCTCTCCACCCTTCATCGTCCCCCAGAGAAGTCTAATCTGACGGTACAGTTCCTTATCTACAGGTCTCTCCACCCTTCATCGTCCCCCACAGAGGACCACAGTACCAGGTGAAGCCTAATCTGACGATACAGTTCCTCATCTACACGTCTCTCCACCCTTCATTCTCCTCTACAGAGGACCACGACACCAGTAGGGCATGAACTGACTGTACAGTTTCTCATCTATACGTCTCTCCACCCTTCATCGTTCCCAACAGACGACCACGGGACCACAGTAGGGGGTGCAGCCTCAAGTGAGGCAACAGTTTATGCAGACGACATTGTGTTTATATTTTTATGCAGACGATGTTTTCTTTTTTGCTGTAGGCTGACCATATTTTCTTTATAGGTTTATGCTGACGATATTTTCTTTGTCACTTCATGCAGACGATATTTTCTTTGTCACTTTATACAGACGATGTTTCCTTTGTCACTTTATGCAGACGATATTTTCTTTGTCACTTTATGCAGACGATAGTATCTTTGTCACTTTATGCAGACCATATTTTCTTTGTCGCGTTATGCAGATGATATTTTCTTTGTCGCTTTGTACTGAGGACATTTTCTTTGTCACTTCATGCAGGTGGTAGTATCTTTGTCACTTTATGCAGACGATATTTTCTTTGTCGCGTTATGCAGACGATATTTTCTTTGTCACTTTATGCAGGCGGTAGTATCTTTGTCACTTTATGCAGACCATATTTTCTTTGTCGCGTTATGCAGACGATATTTTCTTTGTCACTTTATGCAGACGATATTTTCTTTGTCACTTGATGCAAGTGATATTGTCTTTGTAGCTCCAGACGAACAATCCTTACATCCTTACAATGTATGTAAGACTGTGTACCTAGCTGGTGTGACTGTGGCTAATATTGATTACTGTTAAACAGACATTTGTGATAGCATATTTTAATAAATATTCTAAGGTTTCTAAATATTATATTCTAATCGTAAAGCAAATAATTTTTATGTTAGTGTACCGTTGGTTATGTAGGTGAGTCTAGCTATAGAAGAACGGATATTTTGTTATCGATGAGAAAGAGTGGCTTTACTTTGTATTATATGTTATCTGATGTTGTGTTGCGACATCTTAATAAACTTATTATTATGATTATTTTTTGTCTTCTTCTTGCATTGATCCTTCCGTAAACCTTACCAGGAACATATGATTGTGTCTTCCAACCCCAAAATGGATGCATTTTCATTCAGTTGTTCGCCCCACAAGCGTTTGAGTGAGTGAGTTAAAAGTTTACATAAGATGGACAATAGTGCAGCCATTTCGCGATGAGAATAATTTAGGTATAAATTCTATTCAAGTCCCACTATTCATAAGTCTAATATGGTCATGTCAATTGTCAATCGATATATTGTAAAAAAACTATCTATTTATATACACAGTTCAATGATTCTTAGAGATTCAGTCCTATGCCAATAATATCATATTTACTTTTTCGGATACCTTCGCTTTCATTGGAGCATGTTATATTTGGGCGAATGTTTTCTGCTTGGGTGTTTATGCAATTGCATTAAAAGTGGTAACTTTCTTTTGCTCGATAGTTTAGTCTTTGAACGGCATTTAGAAGACTGCATGACACGCTGACCATGCGACTTGTGACAAAGGTACTGGGATTGCTGAATTTCCTTCTTTTTCCAATAGTGCTAGTGGTTTGGCAAGATGCTGGGCTGTGTTGTAGCAGACTGAGCCCCTGGAGCATACACGTGTTCTGACTTTAACTGGATCTTTATGTGTGCCCCAGTGTGTACTTGAGTGTGCTAAAATAATTGGCTTCGCCTTACTATTCTGACCTTTGACCAGTTTCGAGTAAATCTTGTATGGAAAGATTAAAGATAATAAAATGGATGTTACTAGCTCGATACAAAATACATCTGGGGTACTCGATTTGCTGACATTTTCACGGCCAAGTTACAGGCGAATCTATCTCAGCTATTGAATGTATATCTACTCTCCCAAAAAAGAAACGCACCATGAAAATAGCAATTTCATGTAGCAACGAATTAAAACGTGATTCATTTTACAAAAGGTTTTGCTTGTTTATGAGTCCTATGGTGTTTATGTTTTGAAACATCACAACAAAACGCCCCATCCGTAAAATACCCGTATTTAACAGCATGGTTTTCAATTTCGGCGTGTAGTGTCACAGAATACAGAAATCACATGCAATGCACATGAAAGTTGGGGATCAGATAGTCTCAATGATGGGTATGAGAGGTTGATCGCTGTCTGTCGATTATTCACTGTATTTGGAATGTTGTTGACGAACGCAAAATGACACGTCTAAGTGAAGCCAACCGTCATATCGCCATTGGTTTGCTTGAAGCTGGCCAGTCTCAACGTACAGTTGCCCGATGCATGAATGTTCACCAAAGCACCATTTCACGGCTCTGGGAGAGATATCGTCTGCAAAATGCGGTAGCAGATGCCCCTCGTAGTGGGCGACCTCGAGCGACCACTGCGGCGCAGGATCGCTACATCCGATAACATCACCTGCGTCATCGAACAGCTACGGCGACCAGTACCGCTCGACAAATACCCGGATTGAGGAGGCTTTCTGCACAGACCGCCAGGAACAGGTTGAGAGAGGCTGGTTTACGTGCCAGAAGACCTTATTTTGGCCCTGTGCTTCGACAACAACATCGTCGACATCGAGTTCAATGGTGCACCAACGTCCAGGCCTGGAACCTACCGAATTGGCGTAGAATCTGGTCCATTGAAATCATAATGGAAAGATGTCTGTAATAAGAAGAGAGTAGATAATGAGAAAAGTCTAAGACATAAAACTTCAAGATGTCAGTTAATTTAAATACTTGAGATCTGTTGAAGGAACTAAAGAATTTCTTGAATTGTAAGAGTAAACAATTATTTGATCTAACGACTGGCTTAAATATGTTGAAAATGCGGTAATCAGTCTATTAATCTGAGAGAGAAAATAACTAGAAACTTGAATGAAAACAATGCCTGAAAATATGGTCACCATGACAACGCCACTAATATGAATATTGTCACCAAAATTCTTAGTTATTGCTTTTTGTGATTGTGTGAACCGACACTGGTGACCACATCAGTACCTGGTGTAGCCACCCCTCGCACGAAAAACAGCTGCCCATGACCCCCTAAGAGTTGTTCAATGGGGTTCATACCTGGCTGCTGAGCAGATCCCCCATGTGCCAAAAAATCCAGCACTATCCTTCGATGTCGACTGAATTCAAATGAAATTAACGTCACCTAGCACATGTTCAGAACGATAATAATGACGTCACACTGTGAAATAATCTTCCTGCGAAAGAATGATTTACAGTTGCAACGTCATGGTTTTTGAGAAGTTCTTTGATCTTATCTTGTTTACATCATGAATGTTGCCTCGAAAATGCACAAATATGACCACAACGTTTTTTTGTGTGGAGGGTTACACATAGTATGTGTAGTGAGTAGTAAGTCCAGTGACGTCACTCATTCATAACGTTGGGTTATGTATCAATGCGCCGATACAATGAGAAAGGAGTAAATATGCATCGATTTGATCCCAAAGTGGTGAGATTTTAGGTTGTGTAGGAAACAGATTACTGTACTCGTTGTAAGATAAATGGAGTCTGACAAACACTCGTTTTGTTTCTTTTGAGATCCGGGTTAGAATTGATCTTCAGCAACCCAAGCTTGTCGTAAGAGGCGACAACGGGATCGGTTGACACATGTCATCGTATCCAAATTGCGAAGATCGATGCTGATGATGTTGATCACTGGATTGTCTGATCATTTACAGACTGGAATAGCTGGATTATTGCAAAGGGCGACGTTAAAGAAAGAAAACTTGGAGTGATCTCTATAGTAACGTTTACATCTTGATGTGCAGTGCAGTGTTAAAGTGTAAATACGGGTACATATGAGATTGAGTGAGTGAGTGAGTGAGTGAATATCTTTTTACGTCACTTTTCGCCATATTCCAGTAATTTCATGGCGGGGGATACCAGAAATGGTCTTCACACATTGTACCCATAGAGGGAATCGAACCCGGGTCTTCGGCGTGACTAAACCATTTGGCTTTTCGCCATATTTCAGGGGGATACCAGAAATGGTCTTCTTGTAGGGAATCGAACCCGGGTCTTCGGTGTGACGAGCGGACGCTTTAACCACTTGGCTACCACAGAGCAGACAGACCCAGCACGCATGACAACACAGTATTCAATATTCGACTACCCAGTGATAACGACACTAGTGTTTCAACAAGCAGGGACATGGTTCACAGAGTAGACAGACCCAGCAGTGCCAAGTCAACTCATGACAACATAGTATTCAATATTCAACTGCCCAATGCAACGACACGGCGTATTCACTACTGTTTCAACAAGCAAGGACATGGTTCATGTGACAGGGAAATAGTGTCAAGTGAAACTACACAAACATCAACAGCTCAGATCTGTCAGTGTTAACCAGCTGCTGACTATGTTTCTGTTTTACACTGTGACCGGAGTACTTCATGTGTGTGGTATGTATATCTGTCTTCGAAAATGGCCAACCTTGTGACTGTTTTCTCAAGTAATACGGGATATTCTCTCAGTAATCGTAAGTAATGATGACTGGTATTTTTTTACGTGCAGGTCAGTACATGAACTTATCAAGCCAGTATTTAAAATGTTTTATTTTCATATAGCACCTAGTATCAATCTGTCTAGTTGCTCGCTGGAAGCTGAATACACAATCTGATTATTATTACCCTGGATAACCCAAGCTGCCTGTAAGGCGCTAGAAGGTTAATAGTCACATGACTTATCTCACAGGGTAACCAGTTTCTGCTGTACCCAGTTTCGGCAATTTTGAACAAACACACTTACCTCAGGTGAGACCACATGTTAGTATATGATATGTTAGTATGTTCAGCGTAGTGTAGACCACATGTTAGTATATGATATGTTAGTATGTTCAGCGTAGTGTAGACCACATGTTAGTATATGATATGTTAGTATGTTCAGCGTAGTGTAGAGCACATGTTAGTATATGATATGTTAGTATGTTCAGCGTAGTGTAGAACATATGTTAGTATATGATATGTTAGTATGTTCAGCGTAGTGTAGATCATATGTTAGTATATGATATGTTAGTATGTTCAGCGTAGTGTAGATCACATGTTAGTATATGATATGTTAGTATGTTCAGCGTAGTGTAGACCACATGTTAGTATATGATATGTTAGTATGTTCAGCGTAGTGTAGACCACATGTTAAGTATATATGATATGTTAGTATGTTCAGCGTAGTGTAGAGCACATGTTAGTATATGATATGTTAGTATGTTCAGCGTAGTGTAGAGATGTTAGTACATGTTAGTATATGATATGTTGTTAT